AATTTCTAGCAAAACAGTAATGAGTTATTAATTTTTACTTTTCCAAAACTATAAAAAAATTTTATTCACGGTTGACGCGTTTTGACTCACATGGCCATAACCAGATTAATTTCGGACTAATTTCACATTTTCAAGTTGCATATTATCAGACTAACTTCGGACTAGATTGGACTAATTCCGGATTCACTGGTTATACAAAAACCGTATGGAGTTTGGATTTATCCGGGCTAATTCTGAGTGACAAAAACCTGACCATAAGCAGACTGTTTCGGATTAGCTGCGGATTCACTTGTTCAACCAACCGGATTACTTCTGCACTTACTAGTTGCAAATGGTCTGACTAACTTCGGACTAATTACGGATTCAATAGTTATAAAAAACTGTATTCAGTTCAAACTTAATTCAGGGTGAAAAACTCCACAATAAACCGTACACTTGCGGACAAAATAAAATATTTACTTCTGCAGTCAATTTTTTTTTACAAATTTACTAGTATTATTAGTTATCTTCTTTTAATATTATAATTGACACTGATGTGTTAGTTTTCTGTAATTTCTTTTCGTAGCACTTCATAAATTCTATTATGAATTTGAAATCCTATGCGAGCGTGGTATAGTATATTTTTAATCAATATTCCTTTAGGAATCAAATATTTCTGCAACTGGGTCAAATTTTCTCAAAAATATCAGAGTTGGTCATGGGTCTTTGAATTTTTATGACACTTGTTATAAATGTAGTGTTTTATGACAAAAGATTTTAGGAAAAAAAGATTGTTAAAATTTTTCAAAATTGTGGATTTTATACCGGACATCAAACATTAAAGTACATTTTTTTAAAAAAAACGAATAACTTTTATCTAGTTACTTAGATTTTGTTTATATTTTAGGAAATAATAATTGATTTCATAACAATTTAAAGTGCAGTATTAAAAGAAAAAAAATCAAAAATTTGCCCAGAAAAAAAGTAAAAAAAAGTTTAGATTTCATTTTTTTGGGCATAAACACCCCTTCAATTTTTTTGTAACTATAATATTAGGATTCCTTAGCTTCTCAAGAATTTCTTGCAAAATAAAAATTTCTGGAGACTTTAAAACTAACCGAAATATTGAATTTTTTATCCTGCAGTGCAAATACTTTGCACTTACGCGAATGCGTCGCATCTGAGGTCCATGTGTTGCACGATCTTGTTTTACTTCTGTTTAGTAAATCATTCCTATTATTTTGATTATTAAGTTGTGTGACGAAGTGGTTTCGTCACGATATGTTCATTATTTACTTTCTTTTTATTATTATAATTTCAATTAATAATTATTATTTGATTTTTGGTTTAACGCGTTAGTCCTTTTGACTGTAAGGCGTAGGGGGAAATGTAAATCCCCTTTATGACAAGTGTGTAGCGGCATTTAGCAAAAAATGTAGCAGATGACGAAAGCACATTTTTGAATATAGTTTGATTTGGATGTTGATGGGATAAGACGTGTTTATAAGATTTATGAAAGTAAAATAGTGTATTGTGAAGGAATATTATTTGTTATATTTTTATGTTGTGTGGGTTGTGTGGAGAAGTTAATGTTGGATTAATAAAGGTTCATCATTAATGAGAACTTGGTATTTAAATTATTGAATCAACAAGTAGTTGTCAGTTAGTCATTATTTGTGACTGTCCACGAGAAAACAGGGCTTAGCTCCCAAACGTGAATTTCACAGGGCGAGCGATTGAAGTACTACGATTGAAGTTAACTACGCTTGACATACCCATCTTTAAAACGATATATTGTCGAAAGTAGTTGATATTTTTAACTTTTGACTTTTGCATCTGAAAAAGCAACATAAAATCTGTCGATTACCATAAAAAACTCAAATTGATTTTTTGGACCTAAGCCGTGTTTTGTCGTGGACAGTGGACGATTGAAGTTAACTACGCTTGACATACCCAGCTTCAAAACGATACATTGTCGAAAATAATTGATATTTTTAACTTTTGACTTTTGCATTTGAAAAAGCAACATAAAATCTGTCGATTACCATAAAAAACTCAAAATTTATTTTTTGGACCTAAGCCCTGTTTTCTCGTGGACAGTCACATTTTAACTTGAGATTTGTAATTAATTTGTAAGAATACTGTGCATTTTTTAAATTTTTATTTGTTTAAACAAATTAGTATTAGTTTTTTCTAATCATGCAAATTTACCAAACTTTTTTGAAATGCCGATGTGCATTAAATATAAAATTATAATTTAAACAAAAATAAGAATAATAATTTGTTTAAAAATTGTTTAAATAATAATTGCACTTTTAATTTTAATCTGGGTAGGTCTATGCCTAAAAAATCAAAGTTGCCCCTTGTTATTTAATTTCTATGAAACTTTGAGAAATTGTCACAGAACACATGCAAATGAAAAGTGTGAAAACGATTTTATAATTATTTGTTAATCATGATTATTAAATAGGTATTAAATAAAAAACGAATTGCCTATATTAAAAGCTTTTGAAATTTAAATACTTTCAGAGACATTCACAACAAAAGCACTTTATTGAGTTTACAAAATTAAGTAAAATTAACTTTTGGAAAGCAAAATAACACAATTAATATTAAATTTAATTGTTATAAACAATTATTTAAACAATGTTTTAACCAAGTTTGCTTTTTTTTAAATTTTTTTTCTTTATAGAATCAGAAGTTTATTAGTAGCTCTAAAATAAAAGCTTAAAAAATATAGTTCTTTAAAATAATTATTTTTATAAACAATTTTCCTAATTTTTTGATGACCCTTGCTTCCGGTTAAATTTTAGAGGAAAGAGTTGTGATTGAAAGTTCTAGAGCTTAAAAATACCTTTCAAATGAATGGTCATACGTTGAAAAAGTTTAATTAGTTTAGTTGCAAATGAATTTAAACCATTAAAAATAGCACTTTTTTAATTGTTGAATAACTTTGTTAATAATTATTGAATTTGTTTACAACTCACCAGGAATATTCTCCTTGTGAAGCGGAATAAATTAAAAAAAGTCAACTCGATCGGACAAATAGTTTATGTTTTATTCCATTTGTTAACTAAAAACATGAAATTTTTCATAATAATAGACGTTAAAAAAGGGTATGTTTTTTTGACATAAACAAATGGAATAACTCAGTCAATTTTCACTTTATCGATTTGGTGTAAAGGGAATTTAATTTCATTCGTTTTCACAAAACTTTTCCAAAAAAAATCCGACCTAGCTTCAAGGAGGGGGGAGTTAGTTTATTTTTTTCAAAAAATTCCTGACTAGTTAATTATCAATATTTTTAGTTGCAATTCATACCACTTTAGTTTAATGTATATGTATTTTATGAAAAAAAATTGGACATAAGGTTTTGTGCATTTATTTTTCATGTATATCAAGTAAAAGTAAATGTATCCTTTTTTCAACCTCTGAACGTCGGAGTGGGGGTACTCGAAGGAGCGTGATTCTCGCCACCACAACTCAATTCAGCCTTTCAAATTTGCAAAAATGGTCATAACTTCGTTAATTATTTACCGATTTTAATCATTCTTTTTTTAATTTGATGTATTTTTTTACGCTGAATCCAAAAATGATTTTATATTTTTTCAAAATACAATATGTTTAATAATAAAAACGAAAATTTTTTTAGCAAAAAATTTTTAATTATTATTTATAACATTTGACAAAAAATTCTTTTCGTACATATAATTCAATTGAATTCAAAATAATATTATGACATAAAAAAAATTCAAATTATTTTTATATAAGTGTGTAGCATTAGGTTCACATATGCACGCCTGTTCAACTATCAATACAACGATGCTACACACTTATATAAAAATAATTTGAATTAAATTCCCTTTACACCAAATCGATAAAGTGAAAATTGACTGAGTTATTCCATTTGTTTATGTCAAAAAAACATACCCTTTTTTAACGTCTATTATTATGCACTTAGATAAAAAAATCCATTTCCCATTTAAATGGAATGAAAGTTTGACTCCTAAAATGTACTCTCGAAGAAAAAAAACGAAATTCGCAGGTCCAAAAGTGGGGAAATTTAAGTGTATTAAAAATTGTAACATAGCCTTCAAAAAAACTGTTATTTTAAATAAGCATGTTTTCTATTTGTTTTCGTGAGTTACGTGTTTTATAAATGCTCTCGCGAATTAGGGTTACCAACCGCACTTATTTCCCCGGACATGTACTCTTTTTAGAGTCTGTGGGGTTTGTCATACCGGCTTTTAATTATTATACGGGTTTTTGTCTGTTCTTTTCTGTTAATTTTAATCAAATTGACTGCCATGAATTTTATAAACACATTCTAAAGAATGAAACACTATTTAGTGTAGTAGGAAAAATTGATAAATAAAAGTTTTAAAACTTAAATTTTATTATACTTTAAGAATGTTAACATTGTTAAATGTATGTAATGTCACAAATTTTAAGCAAATAATGTTAATACATGTTCAAAATAAGTGAAATAAATTGGATTTGATATAAAAAAATAATTAAATTTCTTATTTAAATTGCACTTTAAAATGTATACTAATACTATTTTACTCTTTTTTAAACCAATAATTGTCCTACTTTTGTACTCTCGTTTTAAAGCTTAAGTCCGGCTATATACCCTTTTATAAAAAAATTGTCAAAAATATATTCTACGGATATTAAATATCATTGCAATATATAATGGATTGACCCCAACATTTCATTTTACAGTTAACCACAAATTTTTATTCCTGTTAAAATTTGTATTCCTTTCAAAATTATAAAAAAATATAATGAAATTCCATTCTAGAGTTAGGATTTAACTTCGTACAACTTGTCAAATTTTTGAAAAACATATTTTGAACAAATTTTTTATCCATATTTTCCGAAAACTGAGCAAGACAAGTAATATATATTATAAACAATAAATTTTTTTAATAATAAGATATATTTGAAAATCGCTGTCCTTGCGATTTTAAATAAAATTATTGAAATAAATTTGCTGAAAATAGGAAACAAATACTTACAGTACTATCAGAAGCGAATAATGATATCTGATTTGATTTATTTAATTGATATAAACAATCCTTTATTAATTGTTTGCTATTCTGTTTTTGAGTTATTAGGTTCTTAATAAGACATTTTATTTTGTCAGAATCATCTGTCGTTATATGTTGTACGGATTTCATTATTTAGTATATTACTAATTTTCATTAACTTTTATTTACTTTCTTCTTCTTATGTGACTTATAAGTAGAAAGTGTCAAAACAACAATTATTGTTTAATTTGAAAGCTATTTAATTTGATTGCTTGACACATGCTTTTCCAAACCGGTATATAGGCACGAAATAGCGAACTATAATGGAGAGTTCACAATAGGTATGTTCTCGTTGCCTGCACTTCTTAGGGCGGTATTCATAGTCCCGACTTAAGCAAGGACTTAAGCTTTGCTTGATCAGGTCGGTCTTAGGGTGGAGTCCCATGATAGCGTTTTGCGTTGCGTTTTGTAACTAGGCCATGAGTGAGAGAGAGATAGAGATATATGTTTGCTCTATTTGCACTCATGGCCTAGTTACAAAACGCAACGCAAAACGCTACCATGGGACTCCAGCCTAAGGGTGGAGTCCCATGACAGCGTTTTGCGTTGCGTCGTAATGGGAGAGAAAAAGACGCAAATATACGTTTGCTGCATTCTCTCTTATTACAACGCAACGCAAAACGCTGCCATGGGACTGCGGCCTAAGAAATTTCAAAACACCACCTTTCAGTTACCCAGTTACGTCATCACATGTAATATGTAGTACACTGAAGTCTTGGTTATACGGACAACTCGGGTGTGTGTCCGTATAATCCAAATAGGTCACCTTGACGAAAAAGTATAAATATGCAGGACAGTACGAAGATTCTTTTTGCCCTCGGTTGAAATAGAATCGCCTGCTAATTTTTTTTATATCTTTGAAATTTATTAATATAGTGTAAAATTGATAATTTGAATTTATTAAATTACATTTGTAGACAAATAAATAAATTAATTAATATTGTCTGATAGCTCACTAACAATTTTGAGGTTAGGTTATATCAAGGGGAAAAAAGGATCCAGTGATAGGTGCGCTACTGACATCATCGAGTCAAGCACGACCCTTCCCTTCACCCCTCATCCCGTTTCAGCGCCATCACATTCCGTATAACCAATTTCCGTATAACCAAGACTTCAGTGTATTATACATGTATAAAACCACGTAATAGGTATGTTTTCGTTGCCTGCACTAAGTGTAACTTTTACACCACCTCAAGAGTAGGTGCAGAAAGTGTAGCGAAATGTATGGTAAAATTACGTCACATCCGGCAAAGAGAACAGCATAGTGCAGGTTAGGTGTTAAAGTGTAAAAAAACATAAGTCCCGAATGCTCATTATGCCGAATACATAATTTAGAAATGACTAGATACGCGAATCCTCAATAAACTAAATTATATATTGAATGAAATTCAAAAGTCGAGAATAATCATTTAATATATTCTGCATAATAAAGAATATTAGTTTACACTAATTCTTTTTCTCAAAAATTTGAAATTATTCTAATTTTTATGTTTGGAATTTTTACTTTACCTACATTTTATTAATTTGAATTCTAATTTAGTAGAATATTTAATTGCCAAAATTATAATTTGGCAGAATGTCAATTCGATCGATTTTATATTTGCAAGAAATTTAATTTGACCGAATATCAATTTGTAAGAAACACTTTTTTGTAGAATTTGAATTTAGGGACCATCCATAAACCACGTAGCCTGTTTTGAGGGGAAGGGGGTTCGGTAATGTGCTACGTTAGATCACATGGGGGGAGGGAGGGTTTTGAGTCTGAGCAACGTAGCTTTGTATTTTTATTTGACACACATTTTTTTGAAATTACGCGGGCAGCTCGAAAGTCAATTCGAGAAATACATGTGGCTATATATATATATATATATATATATATATATATATATAGATTAAAATTAAGAATTAGTCTTGTATCAAACTCTTACTTGTCAACAAAAAAAAAATAAACTGTGATTTAAAAACATTTAATATTGTTTACTATGTTTCAATACGATTTTATTGATTATTTTTAGAAAAGAGATTTTAATATTCAAAAAAAGAAAAAAGCTACGTTCCATTAGGTAGGGGGGGGTCGGTAATATGCTACGTTAAGCTACGTGGGGGAGGGGAGGGGTCGAAAAGTTCAAAAATCGGAGCTACGTGGTTTATGGATGGTCCCATTATCAGAATTGTAATTTTATAGAATATTAATATTGACAAATCTAATTTTGCATCAACGTTCGAATCCTCAAAACTCCTAAAGGTACACTCTCACCTTACTGCCTGCCTGCCAGCGCAGGCAGGCGCCATAAGAGTGAGAGAGAAAAAACATTTAATTTGAATTTTCTGACTCTCTTCCTCTTATGTGTTACCATATGTCAACCTGCAGGCAGGCAGTAGGAGCTGTGTTAGCGCCTTAATTCTATTATTTCCTAAAATGGATGCAACGTAAATACTTGGCGCAATTTTTAAAATTGACCAATCAGAAATCAGAATTTTAAAAATTGCGCCAAATATTTACGTTGCATCCATTTTAGGAAAAAATAGAATCAGGCTGCGGTTACACCTCTGCAGGCAGCCTGCCTGCCTGCAGGTTGTCATGGTAACGTACAAGAGTAAGATAGTCAGTGACTTCAAACTTCTCCCTTACTCTTGTTGCTCCCGCCTGCGCAGGCAGGCAGCCTGCAGAGGTGTAACCGCAGCTTTAGGAGTTTTGATGATTCGAACATTGATCATTGTGATAAAGAAGATTTCTAGCAAAATTAGATTTGTCAATATTAATATTCTATAAAATTACAATCCTGATAAATTCAAATTCTACAAAAAAGTGTTTCTTACAAATTGATATTCGGTCAAATTAAATTTCTTGCAAATATAAAATCGATCGAATTGACATTCTACCAAATTATAATTCGGACAATTAAATATTCTACTAAATTAGAATTCAAATTAATAAAATGTAGGTAAAGTGGAAATTCCAAACATAAAAATTAGAATAATTTCAAATTTTTGAGAAAAAGAATTAGTGTAAACTAATATTCTTCATTATGCAGAATATATTAAATGATTATTCTCGACTTTTGAATTTCATTCAATATATAATTTAGTTTATTGAGGATTCGCGTATCTAGTCATTTCTAAATTATGTATTCGGCATAATGAGCATTCGGGACTTATGTTTTTGGTACAGACGGTCGCACCCCTATTACATCATGTATAAAGGCACAATAGATTCGCGAAAGTCGTTCGCGAACGCAAAGCATGAGTTAGAAAAGGACAGAGATATATTTGTGTCCTTGTCTATCGCATGCGTCTCGTTCGCGAACGACTTTCGCAAACCTATTGTGCGTTTGACTTTATACGCACCCATCCCTGTAGAACAGTAGAATAGTGAAATACTTTTGACGTTTTGACCAATAATATAATTAGTTTTTTTAAAGGAAGGAGAGTCCAGAATAGAGTCGAAGTCGGTATGAACGCGCTGATATTAAACGCGCTCGTCCATATATGCCTTTCTCCAATAGGTTACCACAAGTGTGCAAATGACTGCGTTGCGTTGATTTTAGCATGTGTTGCTATAGCAACCGACGCAGACGCAGTCATTCGCACACTTTTCAAAACCTATTGGAGAAAGGCCTTTGGAGAAAGGCCTTTAGGTTCCCAAAACTCTGCGTCTGCGTCGGTTGCTATAGCAACACATGCTAAAATCAACGCAACGCAGTCATTCGCAGACAAACGCAGAGTTTTTGGATCCTATTGGAGAAAGGCCTTCAAGAAAGGCCTTTATGGAATACATAGGACGAGCGCGTTGTATCAGCGCGTTCAGGCTGCTTCTACAACAGTTTTTTCTTCATCGAAATCAGTGTGAAAACGATGCGCGCGCAACTATTTTGCATGGTGCATTTTGCTCTTGTGAGACGCATGCATATCCCCTAATCACCAAGTCGTCGATTGATCAAATAGTCGAATGCCAAGTAATCGAATGGACAAAACGTCGAATGCTAAAAACATCGAATGGACAAAACGTCGAATGCTAAAAACATCGAATCGGCATTTAGTCGAATGTTCAAAACGTCGAATGATTAAAACGTCGAATGCTAAAAACGTCGAATCGTCAATACGACGAATGTTCAAAACGTCGAATTATCAATTCGTCGAATGTTAAAAACATCGAATTGTCAATACGTCGAATGTTCAAAACGTCGAATGATAAAAACGTCGAATGCTAAAAACATCGAAGCGTCATGTAGTCGAATGCTAAAAATATCGAATCTTCACTTAATCGAATGCTAAAAACATCGAATTCTCAATTCGTCGAATGTACAAAACGTCGAATGTTTAAAACGTCGAATGCTAAAAACGTCGAATGTTCAAAATGTCGAATGCTCAAAACGTCGAATGATAAAAACGTCGAATGCTAAAAACTTCGAATCGTCATTTAGTCGAATGATAAAAACATCGAATCGTCAATACTTCGAATGCTAAAAACATCGAATTGTTAATTCATCGAATGCTTAAATCATCGAATTCTTCATTCGTCGAATGTTCAAAACGTCGAATGATCAAAACGTCGAATGCTAAAAACGTCGAATTCTCAAATCGTCGAATGCTCAAATAATCGAAACGCCATCTGTTCGAAATGTCAAGTAGTAGAATGGTAAAGTAGTCGAATGGTAAAGGAGTCGAAACGCCATCTGTTCGAATTGCCAAGTAGTAGAATGGTAAAGTAGTCGAATGTTCAAAACGTCGAATGATAAAAATGTCGAATGCTCAGAACATCGAACTGTTAATTCATCGAATGCTCAAAACGTCGAATGATAAAAACGTCGAATGCTAAAAACATCGAATCGTCAAAAGTTCGAAAAAGTTCTTTGTCTTCAGTAGACATTAACTTAAAACAAAGAACTTTTTCGAACTTTTGACGATTCGATGTTTTTAGCATTCGACGTTTTTATCATTCGACGTTTTGAGCATTCGACGAATTAACAGTTCGATGTTCTGAGCATTCGACATTTTTATCATTCGACGTTTTGAACATTCGACTACTTTACCATTCTACTACTTGGCAATTCGAACAGATGGCGTTTCGACTACTTTACCATTCGACTACTTTACCATTCTACTACTTACGGAAGCTTCTACGCGCCACCCTGCGGCACTCACTCGCTTTACGAGGCACAAGGCAAATGTCGTTTGAAGCACCCTGCTAGTGAATGCCTTGTACGATGCCTCGGTGTGTGCCTCGTAGGGTGCCTCGATGCGTGCTTTGTGCGACCAGTAGTAGACCAGTGTTTTGAAATTTTAAACGGCTTTAAATGTAAATCAGAATTCTCAAAAAAAAAATTTGACTAGTTCAGGTTAAATTAATAACTAATTGCTGTTAATATTTTTAAATTAAAAAGTGTAAATTTTAGAATAATTACAAATTTTGTTGAATCTTTTTTTGGATTGTAGTGAGGGTGTTGAAATGTATTTTTACTTGAGAGATAGGTTATATAACCTCTAGTTGTCTTAAAAATTTTAAGCAAATATGTACATCTTGAATAATTATTGAATTCAATCCTCATATATAAAAATATATTGAATCGTACTTGCAGCTTGTCATAAATAACTTTTTTGGTAGGTGAAAATGGTGAAAACATAACCTTGACATTTTATACTCAAGTAAAAGAAACATTTCAACACCCTCACTACAATCTAAAACAAGATTCAACAAAATTTGTAATTGAAGGGTGGCATGACAAAAATGGTCAAGCAACAATTTAACGATTTTACAGGAAACGAAAATAACACATTAAAAATTTTTTCTGATCATTAAAGAAAAATCTAAAAAAAACCGTTTGGAAATACTATTTCGCTCAATCAGTAGAAATAAAATTTATGAAGATAAACCTACAACCTACATATTAGTGAGAAAAATAAGTAAAAGTGTACTATTTTGTGGTTACGTCAAATGCGCATATTTTGTTATAAAATTATAATTGTTAAAAAATATACAGTTTAAAGAAAAACTGAAAAATTAGTTTTTTAATATTGAAATGACGAATTGAATGCAAAAAAGTTTGCTTTGAAAAAGTTGTTTGTTTTCAAGAAAATTGTTAATTTAATGTTAACTTTTGAAAGTAAAAAGTATAGAAATTATCAAATGTAAACTACAAACAGGAATATTTAAAAATTAACAGAAGAATAATATTTAAATTATTGAAAATTAGATAAAGAATAAAAATTATTTCTAAATAGACATACAGTTTTTCAGAGAAATTTAATATATATTTAATGATATAAAAAAGAAATAAATATTTTTAACGATATTAATCTATTCATAATAATATTCATTTCTTTTGTTTTTTAACTGAATTGCATTGTAAGTAAAAATATGTAGGCTATTGTCTTATTCTTATTTTTATTAAAAACGAGTTTAAAAAACAATTTACAAGAAAATCCTTTTACAGAACTGTGTAAAAGAATTTACCTGATTTTTTTCTAAAAATATCTCAATTTCGAAAAATTGTTGCTGACTCCCTTTTGTCATGCCACCCTTCAATTATTCTAAAATTTACACTTTTTAATTTAAAAATATTAACAGCAATTAGCTATTAATTTAACCTGAACTAGTCAAATTTTTTTTTTGAGAATTCTGATTTACATTTAAAGCCGTTTAAAATTTCAAAACACTGGTCTACTACTGGTCGCACAAAGCACGCATCGAGGCACCCTACGAGGCACACACCGAGGCATCGTACAAGGCATTCACTAGCAGGGTGCTTCAAACGACATTTGCCTTGTGCCTCGTAAAGCGAGTGAGTGCCGCAGGATGGCGCGTAGAAGCTTCCGTAACTACTTGACATTTCGAACAGATGGCGTTTCGATTATTTGAGCATTCGACGATTTGAGAATTCGACGTTTTTAGCATTCGACGTTTTGATCATTCGACGTTTTGAACATTCGACGAATGAAAAATTCGATGATTTAAGCATTCGATGAATTAACAATTCGATGTTTTTAGCATTCGAAGTATTGACGATTCGATGTTTTTATCATTCGACTAAATGACGATTCGAAGTTTTTAGCATTCGACGTTTTTATCATTCGACGTTTTGAGCATTCGACATTTTGAACATTCGACGTTTTTAGCATTCGACGTTTTAAACATTCGACGTTTTGAACATTCGACGAATTGAGAATTCGATGTTTTTAGCATTCGATTAACTGAAGATTCGATATTTTTAGCATTCGACTACATGACGATTCGTTGTTTTTAGCATTCGACGTTTTTATCATTCGACGTTTTGAACATTCGACGTATTGACAATTCGATGTTTTTAACATTCGACGAATTGATAATTCGACTTTTTGAACATTCGTCGTATTGACGATTCGACGTTTTTAGCATTCGACGTTTTAATCATTCGACGTTTTGAACATTCGACTAAATGCCGATTCGATGTTTTTATCATTCGACTAAATGACGATTCGATGTTTTTAGCATTCGACGTTTTGTCCATTCGATTACTTGGCATTCGATTATTTGATCATTCGACGACTTGGCGATTAGGGGATATGCATGCGTCTCGCTCTTGTCGATGAAAAAAAGCTGTTGTAGAAAGCCTCTCATACCGACTTCGACTCTACTCTGGACTCTCCTTAAGACTTTTTCTGATTGGTCAATTCCTTCTATACACTACTTCACTGTTATATGTATGGACATTAGTGTTCTTAAATTCTCGAGAATTTAAGTTGGGGTAATTTCCCTGAGGAAATTACGGTAATTTAATTTTTTAAAGAGAATATAAGAGAATTTAAGAGAATATTGAGAATTTAAGTTTATTTATTTAAATAATGTATATTTATTATTTTTATTAATATAAATACATATAATTCAGCACAATTGCGATGATTACTTTTATCTAAAAAAATTCTTCAAGTTATATATGTAAATAAAAAAAAGTAAAACCACAAATTTTTTAAGTTATAAATTTAATGTCATTTGCATTTATAAGGTTTATAAAATATGCGTAACTTAATACGAATAAAAGTTAAGATACTTTTGAATATAGATAAATAAAGAATAAGGATTATATTTAACATTATATACAATGAATTAAAAAATTTTTTAAATAAATATTTTGAAATTATTTGTGAATAAAGGCTTTCTGTCAGCTCTGCTGCGAGAGTAAGAGAGAAAAACCATTTAATTTGAATTTTCTGACTCTCTTGCTCTTATGTGTTACCATGACAACCTGCAGTCAGTAGAGCTGTGCAAGTACCTTTAATATATAGCATTTGTGGCATATTCTTGTTTACAAAATTTACAGAAGAATTTAATTGTTTTTGTATTCATTGCTTTTAAAATATTTCCATTTTACACTCTTTGGTTTTGTCATTTTTTAAATCTTTAAAAATATAGCCACTTTAATTAACAAAATAACAACTACTAAATAAAAACACAACGTCGGACAATCGAATTTACCACAGTGTAACGACAAAAGTGAGGTTATGTCACATTCTCTTAAATTCTCAGAGAATTTAATCGTCGGTTATATTCTCGGTAATATTCTCGTTCTCGGTAATATTCTCTGGGTAATATAACCGACTTAGAACACTAATGGACATGAAACTGCATTCTAACACATGAAAAAGAAATGTGATATACATACAAGTGTATCAAATTGTGTAAAAGTTTGTTGAGACAACAAAAATGGATCTATTACATACATTTGTATATTATCTTCTATTTAAAATTATCTATATATAGTATATATTAAGAGAAAAATATTTGCATCAAGCATTCTCCTCTGAATAATAAAAATAAATGTATAATAATAACAACAATGCAGAAACACAACATCAGCTGAGTGTTCGATTGCCTTTTAAACTTTATAAATATGGTGCAAATGACAAGTTTTACAAGTGTAAGAAAACCTTTTAAAAATGTTATTTTCTTTGTCAACAAAACTATTAATTTTAATTTTTTAATTTTAATGGTAATATTGTTGCCAAAAATAATAAAACCTAGTATTAAAGTCTGAAGAAATAATTCGCATTTTTATTCAATATTCAATTCTTTATTCAAAATTATGTTACTGTACAATAAAATCTTATTCCTTATATGAAGACAAATGAAAAATCATATTATTTACATCAAAATGAATCAATTGGTAAATATAAAGTATATATTGTATTGGAAATTAATAGAATTAATTAATCACAATTAAAGATAAAAAATTTACTTTTTTACTAAAAATTTTTCTCTATTTGGAATTATATTGAACCAATTTTGAAACAAGGTTTTTACACAATTATAAATATAAAGTATAAATCACAATGTATCGATTAAAAAAATTAAGAATTAGCTCTTTCCATGTTAGTGCTTCCTTCACGAAGAAAGACATTCTTTTGCTGACCATAAAAAGGAAGTAAAATGTTCATGTAATGAATATCTGGATTTACAAATTGCTTTTATTTTTCTAGATAAAGAAGAATGGGTTGCATCAATAGTCGAGCAGATATTAATGATCTTCATTCAAATATTTTTCAAGTAATGAATGTAGATGATTTAGGTAATTTAATTACACCTGGTCGTTTAGAAGTGACTGATGTAGAAATAGTTCTTTATCAAAGAGAAAAACAACTTGTAAAGTGGCCTTTGCGCTGTTTGCGGCGCTACGGATATGATGCAGAAATATTTAGCTTCGAATCAGGAAGGAGATGTTCCACAGGTCAAGGGATATATGCCTTCAAATGCCGTCGAGCTGCACAACTTTTTAATTTAGTACAAACAAACATACAAGTAAGTGTTTTTTTATTCTTAAATACTAGATGAATCATTTAAAGTATAACCTTCCTTATTCCAACTAATTTCCATATAGCACGTAACCTCGCGTCAATCTTGCCGCAATGTTGTTACAAACTTGAAATGTTCCACCTTCGCAACATTGCACGGCAAGGTTATCGCAAAATTCCAATGAAACTTTTCGGCAACGTCTTGCAATATTAGAATAGTGTTACTTGTAAATGTTGCGTCAATATTACCGTGTAATGTTGCCGCAAGGTTTCAGATTAAGCTTGCAAAATATTTTTAAATTAATTGTTTCTCTTAATTACGTTAATCATACACTGAGAAAAATAAACATGACTGGGTACTGTCCGTACAGGAATGATCCGTGTCAAAAAATTTTTTTTCGTTTAGACATTTCTGTCCAGAAAGGACTTAGAGTAATGTCTTACACATTAAAAAACAGAGAGTAATGAACAATGTCTGATCAGGAACCACTCCTGTTCAGACATAAATGTCAACTCGCCGCATTCAAAAAATCAGTGTACATATGTTACCGGCAAAACCCGAAGACCAGGCATTTTGCGAAATGCTTAGGCAATTCGAGAAATGCCTAAGATTTTAGGAAATACCCGAATTTCCTAGAGGTTTACAGGCAGTTCTCGAATTACCTAGGCATTTCGAGAATTGACTAGGCGATTCGCGAAATGCCGGGGCCGTTTTAGGCAAATTGGCAATTTGACTAAAAAGGCTTCGTCATTTTAGGCATCAAATTGAGAAATGGATTATCTGAGTCATTCATGGTAAGTCCGGAGGAGATGGCCTTAGTTTTTTTAAAGTACTGTAAACATTATAAAAAAGCAATTTATGTCTAAACTTTTATTGATAATTAAACATTAAACACTTAACTTTAAAGTAACGAAAAACAAAATAAAATATTTTCATAGGAACAATCTCAAAATTTACATTTTGTAAAAAGTGCATTTGGCCATCTCTCCCGGACATTCCGGGAGAGATGGCCAATACTTATAATTTTATAATTTTAGCTTAAACTTAATTTTTAACCGTTCAAATTACTTTTCTCTTATTCTGATCACATTCTGAACATTTATTATGGGATTCAGTGCAGTTTTCATGTAGCCAAAAATTTTAAATATTGCACTGAATCCAATCTTTAATTAATGTCGTTTGTTGTAGCTTTTGACTCAACCTACAAATATATCTCCATCTCTGGTGTCAATTAGAACAATTATTTTGTTCTCAGACATTTTTAATTTGTTTTTCTTTAATATTTCTTAAGTATCTAACATTAAGGGGACATTCCAGTTCAAAATGTAAAAAAATCGATTTTTTTTTGTTTTTATTTTCGGATTTCTTATAGTGTCAAGAATACTCTCCTAAAATATTATTGCAAAATTCGATGTAAAACAAAAGTTATACATCCTTATTCTTCGCCATGTCAAAGATGTTTTTGTATGCGGACAAGCAATCGAATGATTTAAATGTTTTCTCATTTGCATTTTTTAAAAAAGACAAACAAAAATGAGCGGCTGGATCGTAGAAGGGCACGTAAATTTTTCTCGGATGAAATCTAAGTCCCCTGAACACTCAAAATTCAACTTCTAATTTTAAATACACATCCTTATAGAAAATTTCATTCCGCATTTTTTTCTTATGAAATTTTTTTCTATCTATTTCCGTTTTTAAAATATTTGGGAAAAACTGTTTTTTTTAAACTGCAAATTTAATGACATTTTTCACTTAAACTCGCGATATTTCAGATAATTTTAAATATTTTTCAATGTACCAAAAAAGAAAATACGTCTAAAGATATTCTACGAATGATAAAAAAGGAAAAAAATTATTTTCTTTATAAACAAAATTGTTATTAATTTTTTTCTTTATTAATGTAAAAATCACGAACTACAATCTTCACGGCTCTCGTTTAACGGGCGAATTTTGAGTAACAGAGAACTTTCAGTGAGAAAGTTGTTCATTATGATCCAAAAAAGTTTTCTGAAAAATCATAAGGCTAATAAATAATTAGTGTCGAAGTGGTGAATGTTTAAAGTTGCTAGCGACCAAACGTATAGCACGCGTCACTCGCCATACGTGCTTGGGAGTGTTGTTTCATAGGTTATGGCCAGTGGCGCGTGCTACACGTTTGGCTGCTAGCAACTTTAAACATTCACCATTTTGACACTAATTATTTATTTGCCTTATGATTTTCCAAAAAACTTTTTTGGATCATAATGAACAACTTTCTCACTGAAAGTTCTCTGTTATTCAAAATTCGCCCGTTAAACGAGAGCCGTGAAGATTGTAGTTCGTGATTTTTACATTAATAAAGAAAAAAATTAATAACAATTTTGTTTATAAAGAAAATAATTTTTTTCCTTTTTTATCATTCGTAGAATATCTTTAGACGTATTTTCTTTTTTGGTACATTGAAAAATATTTAAAATTATCTGAAATATCGCGAGTTTAAGTGAAAAATGTCATTAAATTTGCAGTTTAAAAAAAACAGTTTTTCCCAAATATTTCGAAATCGGAAATAGATAGAAAAAAAGATGCGGAATGAAATTTTCTATAAGGATGTGTATTTAAAATATTTAAAATCAGAAGTTGAATTTTGAGTGTTCAGGGGACTTAGATTTCGGCCGAGAAAAATTTACGTGCCCTTCTACGATCCAGCCGCTCAAATGTATCTGGTGTTGCTGATCACAAATTAGATATCAAATTTTCAAAATTGAAAATGGCGGATCCAATATGACGGAAAAGACAATTTTTTTATTTTAATTTTTTTTTCGTTTAATTTTTTTTCGTCCACTATATTGCATCCGCCATTTTTAATTTTAAAAAAATGATGTCACATTCGTAATCAGCGACCCCAAAAACCCCCCCGCAACGATTTTCAAGCAAATCCAATGATTTTGAAAAAAAATGTCCGCCATATTGGATCCGCCATTTTGAATTTTAAAAATCTGATTCCATATTCGTAATTAGCGAGCTCAAAAACCCCCGAATAAAGATTTTCAAGCAAATCCGATGATTTTTTAAAAAAAATTTCGAAACTAATGAACAAAAACTTTAAATGCGTTTTTCTCAAAATGTCTTTTTTTGATCTGGTAAGAGTGATATCTCGAGTTTTTCTGAAGCGATTTTAAAAAATCAAACGGCTTTTGATTCAGCGTCATCATGCCTATAAGTGGAACCTCAAAAACTGGAAAATTTCCAACTCCCCTTCTTTTTATAAGAGAAATTCTGAATAAAAACACCTTTTTTTGGTTATTTTTGGGAAAAAGTACTCTAAAAAAAGGGGGGGAAGAAAATTCCACTTTTTTGAGGTTCCACACCTAAAGAATTATCTAACGAAGAGAATGTCACTTCGTTTTTGGTTTTATCTGTTTTAGAAAGTTTGGAATCGATCTTACCAACGAAAATGGGCATTTTTTAAAATTTTTTACAAAGTCTTAAATAAATTATTTATTACATGTAAAAGAAATTTTTTAAATAAATGTCATAGTTATTTTAATAATATATACTAAAAAAGCCTTCTTTTTGCCTGTTTTGAACTGGAATGTCCCCTTAACATAAAAAATTTTACATAAAAGTCATTAATGGCCATCATATTCCGTTGCTACACATGATCTAAATCAGTTCAAATTAATCTAATATGACCACCAGACCATTAATAAAGCATAAAATAATTTATTTTAATTGTTATAGACAATATTAATTAACAAATAGTTAAATTTTCTTCCTCTTCACACAAATTTTTTTTCACGTTTAATTTTGAACTTAGGTTTATTAAAAAAATATAAGAATATAAGTTAACTCAATACAACCTATATACACTCCATTCTTTAATCAATTTCTCGAATTGACTAAGTAATTCGCGAAATGACGAAGCCTTTTTAGGCAAATTGCCAATTTGCCTAAAATGGCCCCGGCATTTTTCGAATCGTCTAGTCAATTCTCGAAATGCCTAGGAAATTCGAGAACTGCCTGTAAATATCTAGGAAATTCGGGTATTTCCTAAAATCTTAGACATTTCGCAAAATGCCTGGTCTTCGGGTTTTGCCGGTAACACATACATATAATAATAATTGAGAACATTTAACCTTAAATCATCTTACATTTTATTTTATTAAAAAAGGATTTTATAACTGGGTCAATCCAATTTTATTTCAACTAAAGTTGTGGTCGAAAATTTTAAAAAATTTTAATATTCTGCAGAAATGATTTTGATGATACTAAAGTCACAAAATAAAAAGATTTTTTCAAAAAAATGTTATATCTTTGTAAAATATGAATTTAAAATGTAAGAGATGCTAAAAACTGTTAGATATACCAACAATTTTTGGCATATATGTTAAGAATGTCTAAAAAATATATTATTATAAATTGATAGTATAAGCATTTAAAAATATAAGATAATAAATAAAACATTATCCCAAAGTAAAGTATCCTAATTTTGCGATTTTTATTAACAAATAATGGGGAAATGGGATTAGAAAATCAAGTAAAAACTAACGGAATATTAAAAATTTGTAATGAACTTTCAGTTTTTATTTAAAGTTTTCTTCCATTGTCTCATTTGATCCCGAATCCAGTTTAAAAATTAAAAATGTTTTAAAAATAGTATGTTTTTTAAGGGTTAATGAATGTAACTTCTCTTAAGTTGAAGTTGGTTTAATATTATTATCAATGCTAATCTAACTTCAACTTTATAAAAATTACATTCATTAACCTTTAGAAACGTACTTTTTTTAAAATCCAAGTGCGAAATTAAAAGCGGCCCAATAATGGCCAAGTATTGGCAAAGTTGGTGCCGAATCTTGGCAGACAGTACTGGACCGACTGTTGGGAGGTTAACCGTGGTTGGTCGTCAGCCGAGGTCGGCAGACATTAATGGCCCAATACTGGCTGCCATTACTCCCCCAGTATTGGCAAAATTAAAAAAATAGTAAAAATAATTATACTTTTTAATTAATTAACTAATTAATTTATAA